AGGGGGTTTGGCTGCTTTCTTCGGGCTGCGGCAAACTTTGTGGGAGGCGGGTGAATAATGTGTAAAAAAGCTGTTGGTGCCTTGATTCCTCGGGGCTTGCGCGCACCATCTTAGCCGTGGTCAGGAAGTGGAGTTGACTAAGGCTGGTTTTTTCACCTGATGATGTCGCCTGCTGAAATTCCCGGGAGTCCGGGGAAATTTGCGTCACGCTGAGGCTGTTGGAGAGCAGAAGTAGGTGAGGGACAACGTAAAGCATGTTAAACAGCAAAACAAAGGAAACACGGGCGCTGGGGAAGAGTTCCCGATATTTTTTTTGGTCTTTCTGACTGCTGCGTACTAAAGTCAACAGTCTGCTTTAAAATGTGGCTTTGGTTGGTGGGTATATTCCTAGCTTGTTTTCTAAAATGGTGTTAAAGAGTGGTAAAAATAGGATTTGAACAAAAAGGATTGTTTCGAGCCTCCTGCCAGGAAGAACAGTCTGTGAGAGTCAAGCTGGGTCGTTCCTTACTCTTATCAGTTCTGCAGAATGCATTATTTTGATAGATATCCCATATGGTTGCAGGAATTTGTACCACAGTGGTTCTGAGCTGAGCCATTTGTATGACTGCCAAGGCATTTCGTTTTAACTGTTAAAGGAAGGGTTGCTTCTGTTTTTATTAAAACCTGATTATTTCTGGAAATAAACATCCCTTTTTAGAGGGACACCTAGCAGTCACTGTCACTTCTGAAAGTGTTTGACCTGGCTTCTCTCTCTGGGCCTTCTGGGATGTGTGGTTAGGACAAATGTAAATGTTTGTGAAGGATTTCCAGTGTGTGCCTACTGCATAGTGTTTTCCCCCCACTCTGTAAGTGGATCTTTGCTCAGGAAAGGGAAAATAATTTTTAAACAATATGCCTTTTGTATATAAAGCTGCAAACTTGTCAGGCTTTGGTACATCACCAGAAACTGCTTTTAAACTCTCTTCTGGAAACCTGAGATTTTAAATATCCAGAAATATCCTTGGTGTTACATTGCCTTGAAACAGCTTTCTGCCAAACTTTTAACTTTGGTACTCTGCAGTCTGCTTTTAAACTGTCAGTGAAAATAAAGAATTACATTCTGTACTCGCTTAGGCTGCGTGAGCTACTTGTTGCTATTAAAAACTTGTATATGCTATAGACAAATATAAAATGAATTTGAAAAGCCACCAAGATTTTTTTCTGGCCCTAATCACTGCTTGCAACTCAGTGTGTACTGCTTACAATTTTTGGATGTTCAGTTGAAATCGCATGTTATAAAACTATTATTCTCTCTTTTTTCTTTGCCATATGTTGTGTTTGTTGATTTTTATGCCTTTGAAAGCACCTACACTTAAATATATAGGAGAAATATTGAGAATAACAACAGGATTCATTCTGAGTTAGAGTGGAGAAGAAATAGCTGAGGATAGCAGTAGATAATGTAGTTAAGCCTTGCACATCTCATTGACTTTTTATTCATTCTCCCCAGGTTTTCTGCCTGCATTTGTTGGGTTTGCAGCCTTTCATACAGAGTCTCTTCACATCTCTACGTTAGCTGTTCACTTTTTTCTCTTTACATCTCATGGTGCCCTTGCAGAAATGATTGTAGGTAGAAATTTGTCCTCTTGCATTTGTTTCCAGGCTCTGGGATATGCTCAGGACTAGGCTTCTGTGTGTGTTGCATTACAAAACTACCCCATCTCACTTTCTTCTTTTTTTCTCATCTTTTGCTGTTGATGACAAGTGGATATTTTGGGTGGTTTTTTTTCTCACAGTTTTTGTGACAGGTTCATATGCTCCTTATGGGCATTTCTGTCTCTTGTAAAAAACAGTCTACAACATGCTGTGCTTTCTGCTCTCTGTGTATTTAGCAAAACATGGTTAAGACTGAAGAAGTCTAAATGAGATGGTTACACTCCCTAAAAGCAGGAACCTGATACTTGTAGTCATAAAATCCTGGGATCTTCAAACTTCTGTGGCCTGGATCAAATCATGAAGACTGTGCATTTGGTCATGTATGTCCTGGGCCCTGCATTTTTAGGATAAAATAGAAGTCTGTTGCCTCAGTGGTTGTCTAATGCCTGTGCCATCACATCAGAGATGTGCTCTCCAAGAGGCTCTTGTAGCTTGGCCCTTGGCACTGGAACAGGTCACCCAGAGAAGCTGTGACTGCACCATCCCTGGGAGTATTCAAGGCCATGTTGGATGAGGCTCTGAGCAACGTGGTCTAGTGGAAGATGTCCCATCCCATGGTGGGAGGGGGTGGGAACTACATGGTCTTTAAGGTCCTTTCCAACCCAGACCATTCCATGATTCCATGATTGCCTTTCCCCTCTGCAAAAAATGTGCATATTCACAAGAGTCTTCTTTCTTGCTTTGATTCCATGAGAAGCTTTCCCGTTTGTGTCTTTATTACACTTTGTTTCTGTTTCTTCTTGTCCCACCCACATCAAAAGGACAAGAGGACTTCTATTGGAACTTCACATGGAAGTAGGAAATCTCCTTCAGTTTCTGCTCAGTACTTAGAGCAGAATTATTGCAACTGTGTGAGGGATGGAGGTGTGTTAATAGTGGTAATTTTGATGTTCTTCACTGAAAGGATGGTCGCCCTAGTTCAGTGGGTTTCTTTCGTGTGTATATGGTACAAAGTGTGTATTTTTGCATGGCTTTTTGGGGTGGTGTTTTTTGGTAATGTTTTAGCTATTCAACTTGTGTGGTGGAATTTTGGCAGGAGTATATGTTCAGTATTGGAAAGAGCTTAACCTAAAAAACCTCAACTCTCTTGGTTCCATTTTAGCTGAGTTTAATAGCTTTCCAGTGTGGTTTTTGGTAACCAGGTTTAAAATTATTTTGTGTCAGCTATAAATGTTTTTTTATGTTCTGTGCAAGGCATCACTTTGCAAGCATGTATGTATCTGTCAACGTTGGTGTGATCAGTGTTTGCATATAGCATTTGGGAAATGTAGTGGAAAGTGAGATACTCTTTCAGCTGATTCAGAAACTCATTGGCATGGAATAATCCAGAGAGCTCACATGTCCAAATTCCCTGAATTAGAATACTTATCCTTGATACTGCCTTGCATCTCCCATAAGCCATTTATCATTTGACTTTTTATTTTTTTTTTGGTGGAAAATATTGCACTTGCCATTTTTCATTAGTTACTCGTCTCTTTCTCCCTGTGGAAATTGTCAAAAGTGGGTGATACAAACCAGATGTAATATATGAAATAGTGTACAAATAGTGGAAAAAGCTAGTTTGTTCATCAGATTGCTTCTTTAGAGATTAAAGATGGACTAAGTGGTTTAAAAGTGGGCTTCACATAAAGTTTAGTGCTAGATGAATGGGGAGAAGAATTGCTGTTGTGTTCTCACCTCTGTAAAAGACTCTGGTCTGTGTACTTATAACCTTTTTTTGAGCATTAGAAATGTCTATGTGCTTTCCCTTGACTGCATTGCTAAATACAAGGAATGAAGCTGGTGGGTTGTGTGAGCACTTGCAAGATGGTAATTTTCTTCTTGTGTGCCTGGAGGTGTTTTTGGGACCTTTTTTTTTTTTATTGAACAAACTTCAGATCTCAGCTCACCTAGCTGAGAAGCAATATTGGGAGCTGCAGTTTGCCTGTACTCACGCTGTGGGATTGCTTTGGCATACAGAGCTGCTGAGCCTGGAGCTAATGGTACTTCAGCAGTTGAGTAGTGAACAGCCTGTGTGAGTTCATCCACTTTTGTTCCCGTGACATTTGCTCTTTGCACTATATTGTGACTCGACTTCTTAAGTAGTTCAAAGGTGAATTATCATTTGATGTGTAATTCACTTGGCTACTTTATAGAAAGAAAAAGCAATCGTGTGCCAGGGAGAATGCAACAGAGTAGCTCTTGGCGTAGGCAGTGCTGCTGCTGGTGGAGTAAGTGTCTCCAGCAGTTGGGAAACTTCCAAGGTTCATGGGGTGGGAACCTCTTATTGTTGTGCTGTGGAAAGGATCACTGGGTGAAACTTGGGAGCCAAGCTTTCTCTCAGCCTCCTTCCTGGTTGTTCCTTTAATGTTTGTCCCCTCCCAAGAGCTCACTTACCAGTTGGTCAAGTCCTTTGCAAAATCAATTCCTGACTAAGGTTAGGAATGGAATTGAAGGGAATGAGGGGAGTGATGACTTGCAGTTGATTTCTTTCAAAGAACATGTTTGCTTGTGTATTAGATGTTTAGAAAATTAATTAGCCTTGGGTGTCTCTAAAAGGGTTTGGGGTAGTTGCATCAGCGGTTGCTTCCTGAACAACTGAAATTAGGTGTAGGTGCAGAACTCCTCTGGCCTGAGGAATAGCTGCTCTAACTTTCTCCTGTGGTGTCCTACTTTCCAGCTCCCTGTTTCATGTTAACTTTTTGTTTGGAAAACTTCTTTTCACAAAAGTTAATTTTCCTGGCTTTCTTTATTCCTATTCAGTTTCTAATTGATGATTCTGTTTCCTCCATCAGCATGGCCTGTAGCCTGTGAAGGACACAGTTCCAGTATGCAGTTGTGCTGGTTTGAAAGCAAACCAGTGAGAGACTCCAAGTCAGAAGTACAATTTAATAGATAAACAAACCAAAACAACAACAAATGCAACAGTACAAAAAGAAACCACTGACCAACTCAGAAAGCACCTTGACTCCCTGTCAGTCAGGGAGTTGGTAGTAGTCCGATTATTAAAGGGTGGCTGCAGTCCTCCTGGAGCGATGGGTCTGTTGGAGCAGTGATGCCACAGATCTGGTCCTCATCCAAAGGTCCAGTGGCAGCTCTTGTCCTCTGGGAATCCAGCAGGCAAAGGGAATCTGTGCTGCTCCAAACCCCAGCTTATATCCCTGTGGGGAATGCTTGGCTCCCCCCACCATGTAGGAATGCTTGGCTCCCCCCCTTGGGGTGAAGCATCTCACAATGGGAGGATGTAATTCTATGGGTCATGCATGGGTCCCTGACAGCCCATTAAACAGAGACAGCCCCTGAGGGAGCCATCAGGGACCAGGAGGAGACAACAATCACTGCCCCCACCTGCCCCAACAGCTTGTGGGGACGACAATAGAATACATACCATTGGCTACCCCCACACTGCAACCCAGGACTGCAGTTTAAGTAAAAGATCACTGGTTGAAGTGGAGATAAAATTTAAATACAAGTAATTTGTTGTTTTGAGTGCTTAGTATGTTAATCTAATCATTCAGATTAGTTAGCTAATAATTGCTTCAAATTCTGTAGAGGAGGCAC